ATTACCAGAGAACAGCATAAATTTAGTTTTTCCTTCATTTAACGACAACTTATTATAGTCAAACCTTGTTTTCAACTCTAGTAGTTCTTTTTGTACTATTTTAATTATTTCATCCATATTTTATCCCGAAAAAAATTAATTTGTATCATCCGCAAACATTATAAACTTTAAAATACTAGATACTGCAAAAATATTGTTTAAATAAAGTATAAATAATTTGGGTCCAAGAACTGATCCTTGAGGAAGGCCACATGTTACTTTGTCTGTTTGTGATTTTATATTATTAATTTGTACATATTGTAATCTATTACTCAAATAGCTTTTCAACCACTGATATGTAATCCCCCGTAGGCCATACATTCACATTTACCTCATGATCATGCCTGGTCAATAGTGTCAAATGCCTTGCATAGGTCAATAAATACTCCTACAGTATTATGCTTCTGGTCAACTGCAGCATTATATTGCTGCAGCAATATAATGCAGCATTATATTGCTGCAGCAATATAATGCAGCATTATATTGCTCCAGCAATATAATGCTGCAGCAATATAATGCTCCACAAACTCCATCACAGCTAAAGTTGTGGAGCAGTTGTTCCTGAAGCCGTACTGCTGCTCCTTCAGTCAATTATTTTTATTAAGAAAGGAGTCCAGCCTTTTTGTGAATATTTTTTCCAAAATTTTTGAAAATTGTGATAGCAACGATATTGGCCTGTATTTGCTTGTCTTCACACACTCTCACACTCACACACTCACACACTCTCACACACTCACACACACTCACCACAGAGAGAAATACACACAGCTGTCAGCAGACGATGCTCCTGAAAATCAGCTGTTTCTAAGATATGAATCAGAAAAATAAGATTTCTGACAAAACAAGAACAATAATACTTTTCTAGACAAATTTCCCATATTTCTGTGCATTTTGTTTCCAGTTTGGTTCTTAACTCACTGAACCACAAATGGATGTGTAACAACAAGCTGCTACTTTCCCCACGTTTGGAACCACGTGGCTTACAGCCGGTGGCTTTCTGTGGATTTTTCTTCCACCACCAGGGGGGGCTCTTTAGCAGGAAGTGAATCGTTGGAAGTCAAAATTGGAAATGAAAGAAGAAAGCGCTGAATTTCATTTGAACCAGTACATGTAGCAGCAAAAACGTTTTCCAACTCAAACCCCTCATCAAGGAAACAACATGAAGAAGTTGATATGATGCAGCTTTTAAGTTGAAGGCGATTGATCCCGCAGGACAGATCGATAGCTGCATAAGCTCAGGGAACAAATCCACCGGTTGTTGACCCAGGACTGCGTCCTTAATAGCAGATTTATTCAGGGTGGAAAACCGAGCCCAGCGGTTTGCAGTCCGGTGCGGCTGATAAATCTACGTTTCCAGTTTCATTTGATAAACTTTGTGGTACGGCTTGTAGTGAGGTGCGCTCTATAGTCCGGAGAATACGGTATTTCAGTGCCGAAAAAAAAGTATTTTTAAATTTCTTCCATGTTTCCACATGATGTTTTTTGTTCCTCCGTTTGTTAAAGTTTAGTTTCTAGTCTTGTTAGTTCTCTGATTTTGCTGATGAACGCGTCCCGGCCTGCAGGAGCTGTCGGACATCAACCGGATGATCCGCCAGGGCGCCGTCAGCAGGAAGAGGGCCTTCACCATGGAGGGCGACGTGATGATGTCATCGGCCTGCGACTCGCCCAGTAAGCGGGCGTGTCCGGAGAGCGGCGGCGGTCCCGACGTCCTGCTGAAGCGCCTGCAGGACGTCGTGTCCGAGCGCCAGAGTCGCTGACGGAGCCTCGGACCTGGATGCCGTGTTCCAGAACCGCCCCGTAGCGGCGGCTCCGCGTGGAGAAAGGTTTCACACGCTGACCTGCTGTCAGTTTGGCCGTTTCCTGAGCGAGTCCGGTTTGAGAAAACGGTCTGAACACAAAACGCTTTAATCCAGATTTTCTGCTGCAGGATTATTTTTACTGCTAATCTGATCAACTCATGTCCGTCACTCGGCCACATTTCCTAGAAATAATTTGAAATCACATAAAACTACTTCATTTTTGTGATTTTATTTGACCTCCAAGTCAATATTGGATTTGTTTTTGAAGTGTTCAAACTGTGGTCCAGGGGCCGTTTCTGCCCTCCAGTCTGACCTTGTGCGGCCCACGGACATAATTGTTATATCTATTGTTCATATCTATTGTTTTTTACAAGTTGAGACTTTTTGTTTGTTTGGATTGAATCTGCCAATGGAGACCAACCTGGGTTAATGGGTCGCTGTCTCTTTAAGAGCCTTCATCTCATGGTTTTGTTGCAGAAACAGTGAAGATCGTCTCGGGCCGCCAGGTTCCTGTTGGCACATTTTCACAGATGTTTATCAAAGCAGATTTTCTTTTCATTTTCTGGAAATAATTTAGTTTTTTCCAGACTGCGGTCCAAGGGGTCAGAGGTCAGAGGTCAGAGGTCAGAGCAAGACTGGCTTGGAGCAGAATCTGATGCTTTTGCTTTATCTTGATGCTAATAGTTTGTCACAAACAAGTGACAGAATTGCAAAAAATATTGTTTATAGTTTCTTTTTTATTTTTTTATGACTCATATTTAATTTGGTAAAAAAAATCAAGTTTTAAATATGTTTTGTTAGTTTTATTGGTATTTTTGAGCCTTTCGGTGTGTAGCATCTACACGTCATTCTGCAGATATTACATATTTCACTTCATGTCAAGGTAAAAATTAACTAAATGTTTGGTTTTTTGTAAATCTAGTGTTTAATCAAAATACAATAATGTTGGAGAATTTCTTTCCTTTTATAAAATAAAGTTCATTTCTCTTTTCGGTTATTGTCATAAATTTTTTTCATTTTTTCCTTTTTTATCTACAGAGGTTTTGTAAAAAAAAAAAAAAAAAGGAATTAAAAGAAGAGCTTGTAATTTCTGCACATTAATTTTCTTCATCAGGATGTTTAACAGAGAATCTGCAGAATCCTAATTCTGACTTTAAGATATTAACATTCCAGGAGTTTTATAAAACAGAGGAAGGACCGACTTCTGGATTGATGACACTCATGCATCAATCTCACCAGACACAGAATGAATTTTAAATAAAGAAAGAAAATCTAGAAAAACAAGCCCATTTAAAAATGCAAAGATGACCGACGTCATGATGAACTCCCCGTCTGTGACCTTTGACCTGATGGCTGCCATGTTGCATTCTCAGGTGACCTTCATGGCTCCCAGATTGTAGCAAAGTTACTATTTGTCTCTAATATCCAGACATGGCCTGAAGATTATATGATTAAAAACAGATTTCTCACAAAATGCTGATGTCTGTCACATGGATCTATTTTCAGCGGCGGATTAATCACAAAGCTAACTTTGCGTGCACAGTGAGCGTTGACACTGACAAAGATGAAAAGTCATCTGGATGCTCATTTCTTCCTCATCTGATGTTTTTTTCTGCACTGAATTCTGGGACTTTGTGGCTCCAGAATGAAATAAATGCAATAAATAAATCTGAACCTGGAAGATAAAATGCTTCATGAACGAATCTGGGTTTTTATTGCTGCTGCGTTGGGATCAGCGTGTGTGAGCCGGATAGGCGTTGCCATGCTAACGATCATGGAGACTTTTCAATGCAAAGATAAAACAGGTTTAGTTTCTTCACAGCGATTCATGTCTGCAGCACTTTGGATGTGACCAACATTTCATAAAGTAAAATCTGAAAGATTCATGGAAAATCTCCTGTTATTGTGTTTACAGGTTCTGTGGTTTTATCATTTTCATGATTTGCATTTTGCTTTGATTAACTTTTTATTTTGTTTCATTTAATTTTCAACAGAATTCAACAAACCTGCAGTTTTCTCTTTTTATTTTGACCAAAATAGATTTACAGAATAAGAATCACAAAGCTGTAAACGTCTGTAAAGCAAAACTTTACAGACGTTAAGTTTTGCTTTCTGTTCTGTCAATACTTTTTATTTTTTATATGTTTTGTGCACCCAGCCACAGTCTGGATGGATATTGAGTTTTTAATAAACATATATCAGCTTTCATGGCCAGAAACTGGCAGCCTGTGATTTCTACAGTTATTAATCCAAAGACATAAAACAAATGTATTTCATATAGTTTATTAATATTTGTTGTAGATGCTGTGTCAAGAAAGTCCAAGATCATCCCACTTCCACATGCTGGAGATTTTAGTTAACAGTAACAACAAATAAAGTTATCTTCAAAATAAGTCACACCAATCACATCTAGATCCAACAGTAGACCCAGACTGCAATAAAATAAACCTGGTTGTGTGTGTTGTTTTGTCTCCTGCAAACTTAGCTTTCATTATACTTATTTTTTCTATCTAATCATAAGAAATCATAGTCAGAGAGAGAGATGACACAGGGAGAGCAGGTTTCCTGGAAATAGAGGAAGTAAGTTTCCAGCTTGCAGATGTATAAAAATAGCTGAGACCAGTCCTTATTTAAAGCATAAAAGTTTCAAAGGATAAAATCTAAACATTGTGAGTAATTAGATAAGACTTAAAGTAAAGTACTTATATTAATATTGGTTTACTTATAACAATACTTACTGACACTTGTGGAGAATCGTACAAGTAAAACAAGTAACTGTAACTTTGGTATCAAATAATAAAGAGTAATAAGTTGTGATTATCATAAACTTATAAATGAATGCTAAATTAAAGAAACTAATAGGTTTATGAATGTGATTTTAACATTGAACTTGAAATGGTGTAAAACATGTAACTGCTATTAAAGATCACTGATGATGTGTTGGAGGTAGATAGAAGGTGAAAGGTCAGGGGTCAAATGGGGACAGCAGAGACGACCAAGACCTTATTAGGAGATAGCTTGTTGAACAACTTATTTTGTGTCAGAGACACAGGAGGAACGTTGAGCAACCCTGAGACATTAGCCAAGACCTCAGGACAAAATGTCTCTAAGACAGTGATGGATATGAGTTCATCTGTCCAAACATGTTACCCAATAAAGCACAGCAACAGTGTTAGCCAATGAAAATGCACCGAAAGCAGGTATAAACCCTATATAAAGAGGAATCTTTGGTTGGATCCTCCAGGAAGCTTCGAGTCAAGACCGAGATGGACAAAGAACTCTGCAGCTGAAGAAGAGCCGGAGACACAGGGACGAAGACTGTCCTGTTCACGGGGACCAACCCATCAGCCCCGCAACATGTGGCTTCAAATCGCACTTCTCTCATCGGCTGGGTTCAGACCCCAAAGACAAAGATGAAGACAAAGATGAAGATCAAGACAAAGACAAAGACCCAAGTCCTGTGTGACCTCACCATGGATGCAGAGACTAAAGCTCATCAGACCAACAGAGATCCCTGCCTTCATCAATCAACCTCCTCTTCCTCCTGCTACAACACCTTCTTCATCATCGATCCAGTTCTGGGGTTCGAGACACTAAACTCCGTCCGTCTCTCTAAAGATTCCCTTTTTAGTTCTTAGTATCAGCGTTAGGGAAAGACAGGCTAGATGATTGATTTGACTTATTTGATTATTTCTGCTACTTAATTAAGCTGTACTGACCCTTGCAAAATTGCTTTACTAATAAAATATTTAGCATAAAGAAAATCTAAAAGATGTTGTAGACATTCAATTAATGAGTCGCCTCAAACTTCTTTGATGGTAGTAAAATAGCTGTGATGTTTGATTCTGGGGAAGAAAAACTAGGTAATATTTTATAGGTTTAAAATTTAAAAATTTAAATTTAAAACAACATCCTTGGGACTCGCCAGAGTCACTAAAACCAACCTGATTCAGTAACAAGTGCAAGTTGCAAAAAAGAGAAGGAGCGACCGTTAACAGATGTGCTCTGTGAAACTAGTTATCTGTATGTTGCTCAGTCTGGCTAATTCACAGGGGGAAGAAGGGTGAGACATCTGGATGTAGGCCGTAGAAATCAGGCGAATCCTTTCTAGAAACCAGCTTAAACAGAGTTTACTTCAGTTCTGGATCGGGTAAATCCCAGCAGATTTAGGAAACTCAATTCACCCGTTAGATGGAGAGCTGGTAGGACATCTTCCCTCTCAGAAGAGGAAGTAGTGACTGAGAGAGGAGAGAGTGAAGGAGAGGGGGTGGGGGTAGCGGCAATGACAGCTGACAGCGGCAGCCATGAAGGCTCTCCTGTTGTAGTCTGCTACAGCGGTTCTGTCAAAGCTTCTGACTGAAAACAGCCTGTTCCCCTCCTGGCCTGTGGGGGCGCTGCACCAAGAACCACTGCAGGAAACGACACTAAAACCTCTGAACACACTGAGAGCAACTTCCTGTTTCACCAGATGAAACAAGATGGAGGCATCAGAGTTTAGTGATTTCTCTTTAGTCTTTAGCTGAAGACCAGGAGCCATTTCTGCTGCTAATGCTAGGCTAGCATGTTAGCTTTGGTTGGATTTACCCAGAATGCCCTGCGCTGTAGTTGGAGTTTGATTCTCATCTCACCAAACAAACCGAACTTCCCTGGTAAACAAACTGGAGTTTGATTGAAGTGGACTGAACAGGGACAGTGCAAGTGCAGCTTAAACCTCCTCTTCCAAGGTCCTGCAGCAGCAAGCTGTGCTGCGGTGCAGATACAAACTGTATACTAACAGAAAGAAGAGGAGACCTGATTTCGGTTATTTCAGCTGTCTTCTATGCCTCTTCTGCATCCAGAAACATTTTTATTTTCCTTTAACTTGTGAAAATGATCCAAAAGCTTCAAATCAAACTGTTGTTCCCCTCAGTGACCGCCAGGGGGAGCTGCAGCTTCACAGCATCCTGGCGGAATAGAAAAGGATTTTTTCGTTTCTTGCTTTTAAAGAAAAAGTGAAACAACTGAAATATCCTTCGTGACATTTTCGGCCAGCTGCATCGATGGAGCCTTTAAAACCTTAAATCGGAGCTTTTGTCGCAGCTGCAGCTGCAGCTGCTGCTGGAGGTCAAAGGCAGCAGAACCAACCTGAAAACCACAGACTGCTTCTGCGCATGGTCAGAGGCAGGCACCATCCTCATCCTCTCTCTCCGCCTTCCTCACTCGCCGTGCAGCCGCCTCCATGTCCGGATGAAGATGATGAAGATGCTCCCGGCTGCAGCTCCAGCTGAGCCTCCAGCCTCCCGCTGACCGTCGGTCCATCAGCCCGGGACGAGGCGCCTGCTGCGGGGAGGAGCAGCGCGTCCAGCGCGTTCAGCCGGTCGGTGTGTCCACCGGCTGCAGATTTCACACACACACGGACAGCAGGAGTGTCTTGGACCAAATTGTTGGCAGCTTGCATCACAAGGTCACTTTGCTGGAACGGTGCCTTGCTCGTGGGCTCGCAGGCTGCCGCTGCTGAATGTGTGTCAGTGGGCCACCGGAAAAAACAGACTCGACATTCCAGGTTCGTTTTATGCGTGACATCCCGCATCAGCAGCAGTTAAAGGGGAGGTGGTGTCAGGGCTCACCTCTCCTTTAATGGTCACACTGCTTCTGACACATCCGAACCGAACCCCGTCCGTCACAGGCGCAGAGAACCCAGAACACAGCGGGAGGAACATTTCCTGCTGCTGGCCCTTTAAGGGACCTGAAGTTGAACCGCCTTCAGCTCTCGCGGCTTCCTGGTGAGATTCCCAACATTTTCCAACATTTCTGCTTTGGATGGAGACGAGCTATGAACACCAGCAGATTTTGAAATGAGTTTTATGGCTGGACTTTGACTAGGCCAATCTAGCATTGGTTTGGTAGACCAAGGTGGGAAATTCTGACTCTCCAGTTGGAAAAGTCAACTGGAACCAATCAGAAATCAGATTTCCCCAAACTTGGCGATTCAACGTGGCCGCCTCACATCACCAGGGGCAGACTGGTGGAGGAAACATGTTTTACAGCCTGGAAAACACTGCAAACTTTTGCTCATTCGGGCCGAACGTGACAAAGGAACTGCTGCCAAAATTTAAACCTTGAAATGACTGAAAATCTGATTTTCTTTTCTACCTTCTTAGTAATACACCAAATGTGAACTATTTAATTCAATGAACTATATTTTTAGGACAAAATGGAATCATAGATTTAAAACTTCAAATGTTTTTTGCATGTTTTCCTTGAAAAACATCCAGTTTGATTAAAATGATAAAACTGAAGAAATAGTTCAGCCCAGTTTTACTCCAGCAGCTGAAAGCGGGTCCGTCTGCGCACCAGAACCAGAACCTTCCCTGTTACCATGGCAACAGGGAAGCAGACAGCTTGCGAGACATGATGACTGTGTCTTGATTTAAAAGTCATAGTTTTGTCCTAGTTTTGAATTGTAGTGAGGGGCCACAAAAATCAGGCCAGGGGCCACAAATGGCCCCCGAGACTCAGGTTGAACACCATTGATCTACAATAGGTGTCACCAGCAACGTCTTCAACTCTAGACTGACCGACCTCTGCAGCAGAACCAACCTGACTTTACAGCAACTAAAGACTTTACAGCAACTAAAGACTTTACAGCAACTAAAAACCTTACAGCAACTAAAGACTTTACAGCAACTAAAGACTTTACAGCAACTAAAGACTCTCAAGCAACTAAAGACTTTACAGCAACTAAAGACTTTACAGCAACTAAAGACTTTACAGCAACTAAAGACTTTACAGCAACTAAAAACCTTACAGCAACTAAAGACTTTACAGCAACTAAAGACTTTACAGCAACTAAAGACTTTACAGCAACTAAAAACCTTACAGCAACTAAAGACTTTACAGCAACTAAAGACTTTACAGCAACTAAAGACTTTACAGCAACTAAAGACTTTACAGCAACTAAAGACTTTACAGCAACTAAAGACTTTACAGCAACTAAAGACTACAGCAACTAAAGACTTTACAGCAACTAAAGACTTTACAGCAACTAAAGACTTTACAGCAACTAAAAACCTTACAGCAACTAAAGACTTTACAGCAACTAAAAACCTTACAGCAACTAAAGACTTTACAGCAACTAAAGACTTTACAGCAACTAAAAACCTTACAGCAACTAAAGACTTTACAGCAACTAAAGACTTTACAGCAACTAAAGACTTTACAGCAACTAAAGACTTTACAGCAACTAAAGACTTTACAGCAACTAAAGACTTTACAGCAACTAAAGACTTTACAGCAACTAAAGACTACAGCAACTAAAGACTTTACAGCAACTAAAGACTTTACAGCAACTAAAGACTTTACAGCAACTAAAAACCTTACAGCAACTAAAGACTTTACAGCAACTAAAAACCTTACAGCAACTAAAGACTTTACAGCAACTAAAGACTTTACAGCAACTAAAAACCTTACAGCAACTAAAGACTTTACAGCAACTAAAGACTTTACAGCAACTAAAGACTTTACAGCAACTAAAGACTTTACAGCAACTAAAGACTTTACAGCAACTAAAGACTTTACAGCAACTAAAGACTACAGCAACTAAAGACTTTACAGCAACTAAAGACTTTACAGCAACTAAAGACTTTACAGCAACTAAAAACCTTACAGCAACTAAAGACTTTACAGCAACTAAAGACTTTACAGCAACTAAAGACTTTACAGCAACTAAAGACTTTACAGCAACTAAAGACTACAGCAACTAAAGACTTTACAGCAACTAAAGACTTTACAGCAACTAAAGACTTTACAGCAACTAAAAACCTTACAGCAACTAAAGACTTTACAGCAACTAAAGACTTTACAGCAACTAAAGACTTTACAGCAACTAAAGACTTTACAGCAACTAAAAACCTTACAGCAACTAAAGACTTTACAGCAACTAAAGACTTTACAGCAACTAAAGACTAACAGCAACTAAAGACTAACAGCAACTAAAGACTTTACAGCAACTAAAGACTTTACAGCAACTAAAGACTTTACAGCAACTAACTTTACTTTACTTTACTCCAGCAGCTGAAAGCGGGTCCGTCTGCGCACCAGAACCAGAACCTTCCCTGGTCTTCCTTCCTAAAGACTAACAGCAACAAAAGACTTTACAGCAACTAAAGACTTTACAGCAACTAAAGACTTTACAGCAACTAAAGACTTTACAGCAACTAAAAACTTTACAGCAACTAAAGACTTTACAGCAACTAAAAACTTTACAGCAACTAAAGACTAACAGCAACTAAAGACTTTACAGCAACTAAAGACTAACAGCAACTAAAAACTTTACAGCAACTAAAGACTTTACAGCAACTAAAGACTAACAGCAACTAAAGACTAACAGCAACAAAAGACTTTACAGCAACTAAAGACTTTACAGCAACTAAAGACTTTACAGCAACTAAAGACTTTACAGCAACTAAAAACTTTACAGCAACTAAAGACTAACAGCAACTAAAGACTCTCAAGCAACTAAAGACTTTACAGCAACTAAAAACCTTACAGCAACTAAAGACTTTACAGCAACTAAAGACTTTACAGCAACTAAAGACTCTCAAGCAACTAAAGACTTTACAGCAACTAAAAACTTTACAGCAACTAAAGACTTTACAGCAACTAAAAACTTTACAGCAACTAAAGACTTTACAGCAACTAAAGACTTTACAGCAACTAAAGACTCTCAAGCAACTAAAGACTTTACAGCAACTAAAGACTTTACAGCAACTAAAGACTTTACAGCAACTAAAGACTAACAGCAACTAAAGACTTTACAGCAACTAAAGACTAACAGCAACTAAAAACTTTACAGCAACTAAAGACTAACAGCAACTAAAAACTTTACAGCAACTAAAGACTTTACAGCAACTAAAGACTAACAGCAACTAAAGACTAACAGCAACAAAAGACTTTACAGCAACTAAAGACTTTACAGCAACTAAAGACTTTACAGCAACTAAAGACTTTACAGCAACTAAAGACTTTACAGCAACTAAAAACTTTACAGCAACTAAAGACTAACAGCAACTAAAGACTCTCAAGCAACTAAAGACTTTACAGCAACTAAAAACCTTACAGCAACTAAAGACTTTACAGCAACTAAAGACTTTACAGCAACTAAAGACTCTCAAGCAACTAAAGACTTTACAGCAACTAAAAACTTTACAGCAACTAAAGACTTTACAGCAACTAAAAACTTTACAGCAACTAAAGACTTTACAGCAACTAAAGACTTTACAGCAACTAAAAACTTTACAGCAACTAAAGACTTTACAGCAACTTAAAACTTTACAGCAACTAAAGACTTTACAGCAACTAAAGACTTTACAGCAACTGAAGACTCTCAAGCAACTAAAGACTTTAGAGCAACTAAATACTTTTCAGCAACTAAAGACTCTCAAGCAACTAAAGACTAACAGCAACTAAAGACCAACAAACTGAAACCAAAAATAATAAAACTAAATAAAACAATAAAAAAACTAAAGTCTTTAGTTGCTGTAAAGTCTTTAGTTGCTGTAAATTCTTTAGTTGCTGTAAAGTTTTTAGTTGCTGTTAGTCTTTAGTTGCTGCAGTTTTTAGTTGCTGTTAGTCTTTAGTTGCTGTAGTCTTTAGTTGCTGTAAAGTCTTTAGTTGCTGTTAGTCTTTAGTTGCTGTAAAGTCTTTAGTTGCTGTTAGTCTTTAGTTGCTGTAAAGTCTTTAGTTGCTGTTAGTCTTTAGTTGCTGTAAAGTCTTTAGTTGCTGTAAAGTCTTTAGTTGCTGTAAAGTCTTTAGTTGCTGTAGTCTTTAGTTGCTGTAAAGTCTTTAGTTGCTGTAAAGTCTTTAGTTGCTGTAGTCTTTAGTTGCTGTAAAGTCTTTAGTTGCTGTAAAGTCTTTAGTTGCTGTAAAGTCTTTTGTGGCTGTAAAGTTGTTTTTTGTTTGTGTCCCGCAGTCCGGACGCAGCGGCTCGGTGACGTCATGAGCCACAGCCGATGGAGTCTCTGAACGCCGTGGAGCTGCGGGAGCTGCAACGCTGCGGCCCGTCCAGCGGGGGGCGCTGCGCCGCCGGAGGCTTCGAGAACGTCTCCTACCAGCAGGACGAGGAGCTGGACGAACCGGGACCGGATGCGACCCGCGGCTGTCCGTCCGGAACCAGCACGGTGATAGGATTTGTTTCACCTAATGAATCGATTATTGCAATAAAATTCCAGCGGTGAATCATCGTGAACAGAAGAAAGTGAGAGAAAAACACTGAGCAGGAAAAATGTCCAGAAATCTGATGCGTTCAATATCAGACCACTACTTCCGGTCTGGAGTCTGTTTCAAATCCACCAGACAGACTGAACTATTTATTTACTGCACTATTTATCGTTACTGTTTTCCTTGTTATTGAATTCCTCGGCTTCCTGGGGAGTTCCCGCCGTTTTGGGCTTGGAAATAAACAGACATACTTTGACATCCAGGTTGTTGCTCAGCGTCTCACTGATTCTGCTCTGATTTCACCTTTTATTGTTTTTATTTAGTTTTATTATTTTTGGTTTCAGTTTGTTGGTGTTTTTGCTTCACTGCAAAAACCACACTAGTTCTGTTTAGTTCATTCATTTCAAACACCACAAAACTTAAGTTATTAACAACTTTTTATTATGATAAAGGAGAACTAGAACTTTATTAAATCAATGTTAAAGAATTATTGATTAAAAATAAACTCCTGTGTTTTCCTGAAAAGTTACTTTTATGTTAGTTTTCTTGATAAGATATTTGCACCAGAAGCAGCAGATTTAGTGTTTTGCAGTGCAGATCAACATTTCTCATATTTTTCTGCATATTTTCTCCATCTTTGATCCTTATTAAAATATTATTTATGTATTTTTAACACGATTCTTCTCCTGCACCTGCAGGTTTCTCCAGAGTCGTGTGACGATGAGGATGGGGGGCTGCCGGAGGAGGAGGTGATGGTGGTGCGGGCCTGGCGGCGCCGGACCCGGCCGACGGCCGCTCTGCGGACCTGGGCTTCGTTGTGGCGCTGGTTCTGCTGGTGAGCGGCATCGTGCTGGTGGTGGTGGCCTACACCGTCCCCCGGGACGCCGGCGTTGATCCGGACTCGGTGTCGGCGCGGCAGATGGAGAAGCTGGAGCTGCACTACGCCCGGCTGGGCTCGCACCTGGACAGGTGCATCATCGCAGGCCTGGGCCTGCTGACGCTGGGCGGGATGTTCCTGTCCGTCCTGCTCATGGTCTCCATCTGCCGAGGCGAGATGTACCGCCGCGCCGCCTTCGTCCGGCCCAAAAGGACCTACGGCTCCATCAGCCTGAGGATGAAGCAGCTGGCGACCGGAGAGGCGGACGGAGACGGGGTGGAGCGGGTTCTGGTGGAAAACACACAGCCGGGGTCCAGCCGGGACCAGAACTCAGAACCGAGCAGGACGCCGGCTGCGGCTTCAGCTGCATGTGGAGTTTAGTCGGAATTGATCCGGTTGGATCCGGTTTGGTTCAGTTGGATCCCAGCTGTCAGAAGCCAACCAATCAGACGGCTTGTGACGTTGGCAGACAGGAAGTGGAGCGGTAAGGCCCGGTGGACCAGAACTCCTCTGGAGATTATGAAACATCAGAATTACTGCAAACTGAAATACTCAACCAGTATTTTCGTTTTTAGTGCAAATACTCCAATTTACTTGAAATAAGACAAAACTCTGGTAGTTTATCTCCTGCAGCAGCTTGTTGTCAGAATATAATCTCTGAACATTTATTTGAAGTACATTTCGTCTCCTCTAGCTGATTCTTTACTTCTAAAACCTTTTAAACATTATTAAGGAATCATTGACTTAAATCAAACTTCTTGAAGATTTACTTGTAAGTTGTTTTTGTCTTATTTCAAGTATTTTAAAGATATTTTCACTAAAAATTGAACTAAAATACTTGCAGTGTAATAATTCCTGCTATTTTAATCCTATTAAAACTATAAAAAGCACATTATTTAGAAACAGAAATTATGAATAATGTTTTAGTTTCAAACCACTTCAGTCACATTTTAATTATAGACAGAATATACATTTAATTATTTTCATCATTAATAAAATAGGGCAGAGAGATTTGTTGATTGTTCTCAGACAGAGGAAACATTTATTTATTTTAGCTTCAGGCATAAAATAAAAACCAGGTAGAAAATAAAACCACAAACCCAACATGAACCCAGTGAACCATGAACTGTTCAGTTATGAACTATACCTGAATAAAAATATGAAAATTAGCTTCAGGTCTCTTGGAAATGTCAAATTTTTCACAGCCAGCTTGAAGCATAGCATCAGACTTTTATATCCATTTCTGTTTTTCACTGAGAAAGTTTCCTCCTGGAAGCTAACTGCTAAGCATTAGCTTCACAAAACAACCTGGATGCTAACCGCTGAGTGTTAGCTTCACAATACAACCTGGATGCTAACTGCTAAATGTTAGCTTCAAAATACAACCTGGGTGCTAACTGCTAAATGTTAGCTTCACAATACAACCTGGATGCTAACTGCTAAATGTTAGTTTCAAAATACAACCTGGGTGCTAACCGCTAAATGTTAGCTTCAAAATACAACCTGGGTGCTAACCGCTAATGTTAGCTTCCTAATGTAACCTCATTGATGCAGCTGAGGCTATAAACAGAAAGAAAATATAGAAAAGAAAAAACCCATCAACATAAACTGTTGATGTTTTAAAATGTTTGTACTTTTTATTTCAAGATGCTCAAATTGAACCTTCATTCAAACTAAACCTGGATCTTCTGGACTTTTTTACTGATATCATATTTACATCATAACTTTAAAAGAATTTTCACTTTTCATGTGAACGTTGTTTATTAAACCAAAAAGAAATGGAAAAAAACAAACATTAAAAGAGTTCCAGATAGAATCTGAGCTTTAATGCAGTTTGATTATTATGAAAATATGTGTTACAAGTTCCCCCTGCGGTTGAGAGGCAGTAAACATTCACCAAGATGATAAGTAATCATATTTATTGGTTAAGATTCTCCACTAACTAGATCTTGTGTTGTCTCCCACAGTGGGAAGCAGATCAAACAGTCAGAGAAGCGCCTTAAAACAAACAAACAAACAAACAAACAATGAAAAGTTGTTGGCCCCGCCCTCACAGCTGCTACAGAAAAAACCATCATAACTGGGCGACTAACAAAAGGAAAACCAAACCTAAAAGACAGCAGGGGGCAGTGCGACCACTATAAAACCACAAAATGACTAAATCGTTATTAAATCATTTTAATCTAAAACACATTAAATACACTGCCTTCCTGCATGACACAAATCACCAGAAGCTCCAATCTGGCGCCGTCAATCCGGTGGATCCACCAAATAAGAACAAAACATAAAAACATGCAATTCATCTTTAATAAAACACAAATATAAAACATTCCCACAGCGTCCAGCACCACGCCGTTATCCCCCCGACCACCAGCAACCACACCTGAATCAACCAGGAAGTCAACACCTGGCCACCATCCTCCAGCTTCCTCTTCATGGAGCCTCAGGCTGCGGGGAGAGCGCCCCCTACTGGTGCCGCCTGTTACATATGAAAGTATTAAGAAAAACGGAAAAAAGTGCCAGAGAGTCATTTGGACAGAAGCTGCTTTAACCTTTAATAATGTTTGTTTTTCTTCTGTATTAAATATGAACTGATGGTATTAATGTCAAAACGCTGCAATAACACTGCTGACTCAGCAAATATTATGATGATGTTACCCAGACACACACACACACAGAGACACACACACACACACACACACACACACACACACACACACCACACACACACACACACACACACACACACACACACACACACCACACACACACACACACACACACACACACACACACACACACACACACACACACACACACACACACACACACACACACAGAGACAGATTTCAACAGTTTAGTCCTGACCTGCTGCTCATCAGGGTTTCTTCTGCGTATAGAAAGCAAAACACGGCCGTCACGTTTCTACAATAATAAAGATGTTTTTTAATCATCAGCTTATCAAACTAATGTCATATTCTGAGAATCTCAATGTTGAATATTTATTAAGTCAAAATTATTAAAACATTGTTACAAATGGAGATGTTTCAGTTTTTTCATCACTGAAATAAAATCACATTTCTCTGTTTTAACTTATTCAGATTCTGACCAAATTCAAGCAGCTGCTTCAAAATAAAAGCATAGAAACAAAACTATGAGGCTTTGAATTAACAATTTTTAACACCAACCGACCATAAATGTATTTATTAATATATAAACATGCATCAGACTTTAAACATGCATATTTAAAAGTCTGAGTTGTACAAAAAGAATTAAAATAATGTCAACATAAACCTATTAACATATTACAGTGGATAAAACATTTAGCACAACTCATTTATACGAAATATATTTGATTGTATTTATGAACTACCATACACAAAATACTTTATGTGATAAACATATTGCAGAAACTTCTGCTTTTTAACTTTTAATTAAAGGAGGAAACAAAAACATTTTATTAAATTAGAACTGAGTTATAAAATTAGGTAGAAACAGTTTATTGATTTATCATCTAAATTAGCCACAAAATAATCATAAGAAAGTGGTTTTTAATGAGCGCATTAGGCACTTTGCAAAGCTTTTTATCAATGCATGATTTGATTTTTTTCCCTTTTCTGATGCCACGTTTCCAAACCTCTGGAGGATTGTAGTTTTATTCTGTGGTCACAAACAGACGTCTGATTTGTTTGCTGTATGAAAAGCACAGAAAGTTTGGCCTGAATTTAAAGTGTTACCAGATTCACTCTGCTGTGAGGATGCATGTTACTGAGTGAAGAAGCTTCCTGTCTGTAACATGATGCCGATTTCTACGTCTGATTCTGTTCAGGAGAAAATAAAGTTTCTGTTTTTCATTATCCAGACGGTTCCTCTCTGAACTTCATTTCATGTTCAGTGTCGATCAAACTGGAAAACGGCTCAGAAGAAGAAAACTCGATTCACAACAGAAGAAACTTTGGTTTTAATCAGAACCAAGAAATAAGGAAACAAAGCAAAGCACTGCATCAGAACCTCGGGTCTCCAAAAGTGGGTCGGATTTACCCCTTTGCCCCAAGGGCCGCCGCCCCGCCCCTCGGTCCAGGAATGGTGGAGGATCCATGATGCTGCGGGCTGCCGAGGGAACCGGCCAGTTTTATTTTCTCCACTCAATTAAAATGTTTCCCATGAAAATGTGGCAGTTTGATACAAAGCAGAACTAAAACAGGAACAACTTTGCAGCTTTTATTAGAATGTTTGGCAGAAATGATCAGCCACGTCTCAAAATCAGCAACTGAAAAAATATTTAGTAAAGAAATGGAAATTATTTCCAAACGTTTCTGTAAATCAAAATAATCCAAGGCTGGAAGGTGAGGAGTTTTCTCTCCGAGGCGTCGATTCAATTCACTCGTTTCACAGCGAGAAGCTCAGAGGACAGAATTATAGATATGTATGTTTATCATAACGAGCAGAAAGGTCGAAGGTCAGCGTCAGATCAGGGTCGGTCAGCGTCAGATCAGGGTCGAAGGTCAGCGTCAGATCAGGGTCCAAAGGTCAGTGTCAGATCAGGGTCGAAGGTCAGCGTCAGATCAGGGTTGAGAGTCAGTGTCAGATGAGGGTCGAAGGTCAGCGTCAGATCAGGGTTGAGAGTCAGTGTCAGATCAGGGTCAAAGGTCAGCGTCAGATGAGGTCGAAGGTCAGCGTCAGATCAGGGTCGAGAGTCAGCGTCAGATCAGGGTCGAAGGTCAGCGTCAGATCAGGTTGAGAGTCAGTGTCAGATCAGGGTCAAAGGTCAGCGTCAGATCAGGGTCGAAGGTCAGCGTCAGATCAGGGTCGAAGGTCAGCGTCAGATCAGGGTTGAGAGTCAGTGTCAGATCAGGGTCGAAGGTCAGCGTCAGATCAGGGTTGAGAGTCAGTGTCAGATCAGGGTCAAAGGTCAGCGTCAGATGAGGGTCGAAGGTCAGCGTCAGATCAGGGTCGAAGGTCAGCGTCAGATCAGGGTTGAGAGTCAGTGTCAGATGAGGGTCGAAGGTCAGCGTCAGATCAGGTTGAGAGTCAGTGTCAGATCAGGGTCAAAGGTCAGCGTCAGATGAGGTTCGAAGGTCAGCGTCAGATCAGGGTCGAAGGTCAGCGTCAGATCAGGGTCGAAGGTCAGCGTCAGATCAGGGTTGAGAGTCAGTGTCAGATCAGGGTCGAAGGTCAGCGTCAGATCAGGGTTGAGAGTCAGTGTCAGATCAGGGTCAAAGGTCAGCGTCAGATCAGGGTCGAAGGTCAGCGTCAGATCAGGGTCGAAGGTCAGCGTCAGATCAGGGTTGAGAGTCAGTGTCAGATCAGGGTCAAAGGTCAGCGTCAGATGAGGGTCGAAGGTCAGCGTCAGATCAGGGTCGAAGGTCAGCGTCAGATCAGGGTTGAGAGTCAGTGTCAGATGAGGGTCGAAGGTCAGCGTCAGATCAGGGTTGAGAGTCAGTGTCAGATCAGGGTCAAAGGTCAGCGTCAGATCAGGGTTGAGAGTCAGTGTCAGATCAGGGTCAAAGGTCAGCGTCAGATGAGGGTCGAAGGTCAGCGTCAGATCAGGGTCGAAGGTCAGCGTCAGATCAGGGTCAAAGGTCAGCGTCAGATCAGGGTCAAAGGTCAGCGTCAGATGAGGGTCAAAGGTCAGCGTCA